GGTATGCTTTACTCAGAACAATTACATTCAAGTCAGAGTACACAGTGAAGTGGCCTCTCTTCAGAATAAAGAGCATATGACCACCAATGTCTTTCATTTTACATTCATGTCAGAAAAAGAAGTGCCCTTGGTTTACCCTAAAACATATGGAGGTAAGCAGTGATTATTGCTTTTCCCTAATGAAAGGAAGAAATTTTAAAGAAAAAAAAATTTCAATTCTTGGGATTGAACCCAGGGCCTCACACATGCTAGGCAAGAGCTCTCCTGCTGAGCTACATCCCCAGCCTTCTTTTAAATTGTAACAGGAAGTGCAACAATGCTTGTCAGTCCAAGAGCATGTCCTTAAGAAATTTTGCTTTTGAGGTTCTATAGCCATGAAGGCCAAAGACGCCTCCATAGTCCTCAGGTGGCTGTTGCTGTTCTTCCCACCGGTTATCTGCAGACAAGCAACCACTGGTAGTGAAAGCCTAGTCCTCCCAAAGGAAAGGGACGGGAGTTATGACCTGTTTTCTTAGGAATGCTGCACACGTCCAGCCCAGTAGTGCATCCCTATTGCTGGTTTTGCATGCTTACTGCTGCCTGAGTGTTCCCAAATAGTGTCTTGTTTGTATGCTTTTATAGTATGTTTCAAATTTCTCCAGGGTTATCTTTCTTGTGTTTCAGAATCCATGTTGTATTTAGATGGGCAGCGGCATTTCAGCTCCATGAGTGTCCCTGTGAGCTTGAGAAAAGACTACCGTGTGGAGCCCTAGGAAAACCTCACTTGTTGCAAACCAGCACTCCACCTGCAGTGACATAGTGCCTAATGAAAGCCAATCAAGTGTATTTGGTTTTAGTATTGCTTCTTATCCTTAATATACAAGGAGAATGTATTCAGCTTTTAGGATATTCAGAAAAGCAGAACGAGAGCAGCTGGGTGAGGCTGAGACGATAAAGTTATTAAACAATAAATACTTTAAAAACTGTATTAATTGTGAACCTACATGTTGGCCCTCCATCCCTATCTACTAAAGGAATTAGGGCAGAATGCCTTTATATACAGTTGGACACATTCTTTTCTTACTCATACTGCAGCAATCAATATATAGTTTCCTGCCAGGGTAATTGGATGACATTCTCTAAACCTGACCAATTCCCCTATGTCATCTAAAACCCCATCAAACTTACATGATTGTATTTGCTTCCATTTACTTCTCAGCTTTTTTTAGCAGAGGGTGTATGAAAAATTAGAGTGAAAGGATCCAACAAAGGATATGGCATCTGCAAAGACTTGTGGGAAGATTTAGTTTTAAAATTCCATTAGGAGGTATTTAGAGATGGCATAGATGAAGAAACACAGGAGCATCTGTTCATTCTTTCATTCATTAGACAGTTATTCAGCACACTGTGCTAGGGGTTGGGCAGGATACATCTGATTTTAAAATAATAGCTGAATGAGCTTATAGAGTACTTACCATATGCTAGGTAGACACCATCCTCCGTACTTGACATGTATTAGCTTATTTATTTCTTCCAATCAGCATTGTGAGGCAGGTTCTGTAACTTTTGTAGGATTAGTCCACTCAGAAAACTGAAGCACATATAGGTTAAGTAACTTGCTCAAACCCAATATTACAATATCACCTAGGAATGGAAAGGAAGGCATTCCAAACTTTTTGTGTGTGTGTGCTAGGGATCAAAACCAGGGCCTTGCATGTGCTCTATGTTGAGTTACAACCCCAGCCAGCATTCCTATTAATCTGCAGCCAAGACAAGACAGTTTATTACCTGAAGGGAGGAAAACATGATCAAATTTGGAAGAGACCAAAAAAAAAAAAAAAACCCAAATCAAAACAACAACAAAACACTACATAGAAGGAAAAAGAAATCTTTGAAAATGCTGTTCCTGAGATGAAAATAGTCTCCTTTGGTATGGGTTCCAGGTCACAAATGTGCCTCTGACTTGGAATTAGCTAGAGTGTTTTAAAATTTTTTATATTAATTTATGTAATTTTATTAAAATCACAATATCATTCACCTCTGGCATAAAAAGTCCTGGGAACAAACAGCTTTCTCTCAGAGGCATGCAATTTAACTCAATGGGATCAAGCCAGTGCTATACTATAGTAGCCTGTTTCTGCACATTGTAATATCATCCAAAGATATACCTGGTCCTTCAGTATATTTTTCATAACTACCTATAATATGGTGGGAACTGGTGAGTCTAGGTGGCTAATGGGGGCTCTGGGAACTTTTGTGGGTATGTTAAGTGGAGCTCAGTTAAGAGATCTAATACATACTATTGTATATATTATGCATTATATAATTAGCCATTTGTTGCTGTGCAATGAAGCTTTTTCTAGAACCTTTTTTTTGCTATTATAAACAGTGCTGCAGGAACTATCCTAAATATCTAAAACATTTGACTCCTAAATTATTTCCTTAGGCAAAGTGTAAAGAAGTGAACTATTTAGGTTAAATAATATGTATACAATAGTATGAAGGCTTTGAATATGTATTTTATTTTTATTTACTTATTTGCTTTTTCTGTGGTACTGGGATTGAATACAGGGGCACTGAACCACTAAACCACATCAGCCCTTTTTATTTTTTATTTTGAGACAGGGTCTCACTAAATTACTTAGGGCCTCTCTAAGTTGCTAAGGCTGACTTATAACTTGTGATTCTCTTGCCTCAGCCTCCCTAATGGCTGGGAATACAAGCAAGTACCACTACGTCTGGCTCTATATGTATTTTACATAAGCCTCTAGAACAGTTACACAAACTCACCTATCAGCAATTTTTCTGAACTTTGCTATTTTGTCTTTCCTTGTAAAAACACCTTTGCTGTTTTTTTTATTCATCTTTGCTGTTTTGAGAGGTGAAAAATGACATTTGTTAATTTCCTTTCTTTGAATTCTCCTGAGATTGAAATGAAATTGCTTTTGTCTTTTTAATTAATTTGTTCAAGCCATTCTGGAGGTCAGAATCTTAACCCAAAATTGTTACCATCTACCAATACAGGAGTAAGAACTATGGGTTTTAATTTTTAATACAGGACTTTAAGTAATGAGATGCAGCAAATTATAAAGGATATAACAATTGGTTCTGGATTATTAGTGTTTTTTCACTCTCAAGGAACACATAAGAAGTTTTTATTTTTTAATAATTCTTTTAATTTTCAGATTCACAACATTTGCATAACTATGAGAAAACATTTTCATGCCCTTCCAACAAAATAAGAAAACATAGCAGTACCTTCTAATAATCAAAACAAAATTTCATTATTAACAAAAAGTCATATATACTAATTGGGAAATTAAAGTTTATCTTAGAATCGACTTCAGTCAGGAAAGCTTCTTTTGGACAAATGAAGAGTTAATGTACATATCCTAGTTAAATAAAAAATGTACATATCCTAGTTAAATAAAAAAATACATAACACAATGGGCTATTCTAAGATTTATAACCCTTTTAATTTGAGGAGTTCCAACAATGTCTATTCTAAAACATATAGTAAAATAGCTCTTAGAAAAAAATTGATGAGCAGACTTTAGTTTGTTTTAGACAAACTTGCCTACTTTCTGATTATATCACATCACCACAATCAATGCAATGCATTTTTTTCTGAGAAAAAGCAAAACTAAAATTTAAATTAATACAGAGTTCTTCACATATTCACCCAGTCTATCAAATATAACTCATATAATAAAACCTACAGTACATATAATTATGCACCAAAAAATGTAGATCTGTCAAGTATACAAAAATTAACAATTTCATTTACCCAAGTCAAAGAAAAAACTTTAATAACATAAAAACACAAATGTAAGCTAGATCTACTTTGAGGACATTTTATCATATTTTTACATCAAAAGGATGTATGCTTGGACAACAGCAGAAATGCTGTTAAAGCTGTTTGCTATAAATTAAAATTAATTAAACAAAAGATCAAAAAGTCTCCAAGTTAAACTTCACAAAACAAAAACACTGTCTTCTGATTTAATTTTCAGGATAAGACAGGGCAAAATGCAAGTATCTTGCTTTCTATTTCTGTCTATAAACAAAAGTTCAATATCAACATAAATGATACTATAAGGAAATAAATACATAGTTGTGTTTCAAGTTTCACAACATAAAAAATACTGTGATATAATGCTCTCACAGTAAATTTTCATTTTTCTATTGTGTTATTTTTTGTTTGTTCGTATTGATGGTTGTGCTGGGGGAAGAAACCCAGGGCACCTCACAAGAAGTGCTCCAGCACTATTACACTCACAAACTCTTAAAAAAAAATTTTTTAACAAGTAACAATTAGTGAATGAATTGGGAATAGAGAACAAAAGTGAAAGATATTTTTATATCCATAAGAATCAAACTTAGTTAATCACAGCTGTTAGCAATACTATAGAATAGCTGTGTGTGTGTGTGTGTGTGTGTGTGTGTGTTTTGCTGGGGCTTGAACCCAGGGCCAACTGAGCCATCTCTCCGGCCCCAGAGTGGCTGTTTTAAAAGACAGCAACATAGCTCTGGCATTTACTCTGTTGCTATGTTTTTGCCCTGGATTGAACCTAGGACCTCACATATACTGGACAAGCACCTTGCCACTAAGTTACACCTAAAACAGCTATTAATAACAGAAATGATATGGATCCTTATTACTCCCTTTTACAGAAACATATTTGTACATTCTCTGTAATCGCATGGTCCTTTAAAGACTGCGTTTGCTTACAGAACAGATGACAATTTCATAAAGCTTTAAACCATAAATTTTTAAGGATTCTGACAGAACAGACAGCTTCATAATACAGCTTCAGTACATCAGAAAATACTCCCTTTACCCATGTATTACTTTGTATATTTCTCACACTTTTGAGAAACATTTTTTCTGTAAGAAATGAGCACTTTTAGATAGATTATAATTACCTCTAGTAGAATTTGTCATTGTCCCTATCTTTTTGATCCGATTCACCTGGATCTTAAAAGAAGGGTGCTCATTTTAATCTGTTGAATACCTTATGTCAGTTTATCTTCTGGACTTTTTTTTTGTACTTCCCTTCTCTTACCAAGTTGGATGGAGATGAGGATGCAGCTCGCAAAGGATACCCATCTGGGGATCCTTTTTGCCGATTTGGATACATTTCTTGTTTATCCACAGACTTCTGAAGTTGTATCGCCAACAACCTATCCTCTTCTTCTTGTTTATGTCTCTCAAAAAGTTGGTGCTCCAAAGTCATCATTTTTTGGGTGAAGCTTACTTCTGATTCCTCTTCATCCGAGGGAGATTTCTGGAACAGTTCTCTTTTTGCAGAACAGCGTGGATTGTTGACTGCTTCAGATGAAGATTCCTCATTTTTTCTTTTGGCAATACTTTTGCTGATCAGTAGGTGAGACCCTTTTTGTTTCTCAAAGGTGTTGTTTCCAGTTTTCGGTGTAGTGCTCTTACTCTGAGCTTTGCCATAAGGCTTGACTGCAGCTTGTATAGAGTGGTGAGCTCCAGGTTTAAGTCTTTCAAGCACGACAAACAACTCTTTATGACAACAGCTTGGGCTGGTTTGGGCTTTACCTTCAAGGTGTTTTTCCATACCAGAGACATACAACCGTGGCACAGGTGTCTCCATGGAAGACTTTGCACCTTGTTTTTTAATTTCAAGGCCTATTCGTGAAGAAACTGTTGGCATGTTTTCTTCAATTTCTTGCTGCATTGGGCTTTTACCATCACTGTCCATGTTTTCGGATACGTAGATTTTTCTGACTTCTCGTACAACCTCAGACTGTGATGCTGGCTCAAATTGATGCAGAGGTGACAAATACCTGTCTTCAATATGTCTTTGTTTGTTCTTTCTTTTCTTTTGTGACTTTGTTGCAACTGGTTCAGATTCTGCAGAATTCAGAGGAGAAGCCAAGATACTTCCGTCAGAGGAACTGTTGGCGCTTAGGTTTCTTGCCTGTTCCTCCTTTTTCAAGTCCAGGTCACTCTGCCTCCGTCTTGTCTTTTTCTCTAGCTCCTCCTCCTCTGCCAACAATTTCTGTATGTATTCTTCACTAGCTTTGCATTGCTCTTCTTCCCGGGCCCGGCGCTCTGCCTCCATCTTGCTCATTTCCTCTTCATATTCTTTTCTCAGTTCCCCGGGAGTACTTAACACGCGAACTGGTTGGTAGTCTTCAACTTCTTTCTCTGATTCTTGCCCAGAAATTCTGAGCTGGCATTCCTTTGGGTAGTGTTTTTGAATCATCTCCCACAGTTCCATATTGACAAGAGAATTTCTTCGAGTATGGTACCGAGTCCATGAAGATACCCAGAGGCGACAGAAAGGACAGCATAAATTCGCCTTTTCCATGGTCGTCAGGAAGCACGGCTTACACAGCGTGTGGTTACAAGGCAGAGTCACAGGTTCTATTAGAATTTCCAGACATATCTGGCACTGGTATTCGGACAATGAAGGAATGGCGTGTTTGGATAGCGCCATTTCAATCTGTTGACAAGGTCTACTTATCAGTAGCCGAAGACGAAGAAGCTCTCGTCAAATAACTGCTTTGCCACTAGGCCGCGGCTCAGAAAAAATGCTGTTTCCGCTGAGAAGCCGGAACTTCCGTTTGACACCTATTGTGGGGTGTGCTGGAGTTTTGTAGTGCCCCATCCCACCGATCCCCACCCCAGTCTGTCAATCCTCAGCATGCCGGCTTCCTTTCTGTCAGCCACATTTGAGAACTTACAAACCAGTGAGTGTACCGCATAGTGTCTAGCATGGTTCCACCTGTTGAGGGTTGGAAATTGTTCTGTATTGGTGTGCGGAAATCACAATTTCTCTTTAGGCATTTATTACCAAATAATAATTAATTTGGGCCAACATATTTCTTCAATGTATGGTCTTTGAGGATAGTAGGTTGCTGCTGTTGTTTACTTTGCAGCATTGGGGATTCGACACAGGGGTACCATTGGGCTACATCCCCAGCCCTTGAGCCCTTTTTATTTTTTAGATAGGGTTTTGCCAAGTTGCCAAAGCTGGGCTTGAATTATAGATGCTTGCCACCACAGCTGGTATGTTGTTTATGTATCTAAAGATATTTGCATGCTATGGCACACACGTTTTTCCAGCATCTTAGGAGGCGGTGACAGGAGAATTGCAAGTTCAAGGTCTTTCAGCAACTTGGTGAGAACCTGTCTCAAAATAAAAAGTTAAAAAGGGAGGTTGGGGGGCTGGGGATGTGGCTCAAGCGATATTGCGCTCGCCTGGCATGCGTGCAGCCCGGGTTCAATCCTCAGCACCACATACAAACAAAGATGTTGTGTCCGCTGAAAACTAAAAAAATAAATATTAAAATTCTCTCTCTCTCTCTCTCTCTCTTTAAAAAAAAAGGGGGAGGTTGGGGATCTAGCTCAGTGGCAGAGCACTTGCCTAGCATGCACAAGGCCCTGAAAAAAATTAAAAAGGGCTGGGGATATCACTCAGTGGCAAAATGTCCCTGGGGTCAATTCCCAGTACCCCCCACAACAAATAAATAATTATAAAAAGTACTGAGGATGTAGATAGTGGTGTTTTTGCCCCAGGATTCAATGCCCAGTACTGCAAGCCAGTAAACTCAAAAGCCATATTTGATTTTGTGGGATGGCTGGGCTTACCTAGGAGATTATTCTGCTTTATATGGTAGTCCTTGGTAGTCAACTGTGTTCAGCTGGGAGCTCATCTGGGACTGGACCATCTGGCTCCTCAGCTGGGGTGTATTCAATGGGTGATGCTCTCTAGTAGACTGGTTGGATACCTTCAATGGCAGCTGGAGGGGACTAGAAGCAGCCAAAGATTTTCAGTTCTTAACCACATCATTGCTCTGCTTTTCATGGAGGGAATGATCAATGGTATCGCTGAAATTGACAAAGGTGGGTAGGGGAAAATGGCATTGATTGGATAACTGAGAAATTGCTGGTGGAAAAAAAACTTTGAAAAAGTGGTAGTATCTTGGGTTACACAGTGAAGGGCCAAGTCATTTCAAGCTTTGTTGGTTTTTCTTCAGTGAATTCCTCACTGGTGTTAGACAGATATTCTTTTACAAAAGCTTTATTGTCAGGTAACATTAGGAAATACTGCATGCCTTTAATACTTCACGGGTATTTTATAATGCATATCAGTTTACAAAAGATTGAAAATAGGGCCATAAGAAAACCTGCTTCAGCTGACCTGGTGGCACATATCTTTAATCCCAGTTACTCATAAGGCTGAGGCAGGAGGATGACAAGTTCCAACCCAGCCTGGGCAATTTTAGTGAGACTAGCTCAAAGTAAATCAAGTCTGGAATAGTGGTGCACTCCTATAATCCCAGCAAGTTGGGGGGTTGAAAGCAGGAGGATCACAAGTTTGAGGCCAACCTCAGCATCTTAAAAGATCCTCAGCAACTTAGCAAAACCTACTCTCAAAATAATAAAAAGGACTAGGATGGGGGCTGGGGATATAGCTCAGTTGGTAGAGTGCTTACCTTCCATGCACAAGGCTCTGGGTTCAATCCTCAGCAACACACACACACTCTCTCTCTCTCTCACACACACACACACACCAAAAAAAAAAAAAAAAAAAAAAAAAAAGGACTGGGATGTAGCTCAGTGGCAAAGCACCTGTGGTTCAATCCCCAGTACCAAAAAAACAAAAACACACACACACACACACAAAACTAAACAAAACTGTCTGGAGCTGCTCTGGAAATACATGCCCTTAAGCAAGAGAACAATTATTGCACCCTGCAAATTTATCTCTGCTTGGATAATGAGGCATGGCTCCAGGAGTAGGCGTTCCTTGATGCGTTTGAGTTACACTCACCTGTCCCTTTGTAATCCTCCCCCTTTAACCTTTTTGGGATAGAATGTACCATGGAACCTGCCCTTGTGTGTTCCCTATATAAGAATAAAGAATTCCAGTGGCTTTCCCTCTTTTTATACGGGCCCCTAAGGTCGGAGAGCTGTCCCAGATTTTGAAAAGGCACTTCTTTGTGTTTGTGTTTTTTTTTTTTTTTTTTGCCGTTTTCTTAAGTTAATGCAATAGTCGGATTTGTGAACCCAGCATAGGTCGCCAGCTAGGAAAGATGGCGATAAATGGAGTTGCCGCTGGGATGTTTTAAGGTAGCTGATAAAATGTATATGGCTAAAGTGTAGCCCTCTCTCATAAGTACGCTTTTTATGACTTATTGTGAAACTAATGTGGGTTTTTTTTGTGTTTTGAAATGTTTTAGATTAGAATTTTTGAATTTATGTGCTGTAAATTAATGTTTAGAGAACGAAGAGAGATTGGTTTATTTGTGGGATGTAAAATTCCAGAAGTTTTCTGCTTCTAAAAAAGTAAAGTATTTTTCAAATTTTTATTTGATTCTTACTTTCTAGAATTATTTAGACAACTTGAATTGGGCAAATAAATCTGCTGAGCCTCTCACTGCATCCCTATCAAAATGTAAAATCGAGTGAACTATAACTCAGCTGCTGTCACACAGATGCAGGGCTCCAACCTGCCACTGGCAATACTTTTAACCTTTAGATATCCTGGCCTGGGTGCCAAACGCCTGCCCGCTAGCACCAGCATCTGCCACTGGAACCCGCTGTTGAGTTGGGGGAATTTTGGGGTGCCCACATGCTGCGAAGGGAGAGTGCAAAAGACGGAAGCACAACTGCTCTGCAAGCGGGCTAACCTCTGAGGACAGGTCACATAGATAAGGCAGGGTCCCATCCATGGGGTCCTACTCAGGTGGGGGCAATACAGTGACTCCAGGGGAGGTTAAAACTCTTGGGGACGCTAACCCGCCCATGGCGCCCGCCCAAAGGGACTGAAGCGCTGCTGCGGCTTCCTGAGTCCTCATGGTCCCGGAAGTAGCAGAGTCGGGGGAGCAACGGGGTACTGGATGGTAACCTGCGGGCACAGAGTGTCTCTGGAGGCTTATTTTCAGGGCCTGCCATTCAGACCCTTTTTCATGGGCACAGGCCCCATCCCAGCGGGAGGGACCCAGCGCCCAGCGGCAACCTGGCTTCCCCATCCCAACTTAACGCCAGCTGGCCCATCAGCCAGGGGATCACAGGGCCATTACTCAAACCTCTGTGACGCCAGGGGAATGGCGAAACGCCCATGTGATGCAGTCGCAGAGGGACTGCAGGCAGGGGAAGGCAGTCAAATTGAACTGAGTCAAACCCATTGGGGAAGCTCCCGGGGCTGGCGGGACCCTGCCTTGGGCAACAAGCCCTGCCCCTGCGGGGCAAACTCAGATGTAAAGTACATTGCAATGGATCCAAATATTTTAAGAGCCATGTGGTTTCATAAGCTTTACATAATTATAAGCAATACCTTTATTCTTAATGCATATTTTTCCAGGTAGTTGGATAATCTATAGTCCTTAATTTATAGAATAATTAACACATGTATCTATTTGTTTAATTAATATGTATCTATTTGCTTCTAACTGCCTTCCCGCAACAGGAAGCATGTAATTTATACCTTTATACATGCATTTATGTGGTGCTCTGCTTTTTATAGTTAAAAATATTTAAGATAGGGGCTGGGATTGTGGCTCAGAAGTAGAGTGCTCAACTAACACGTGCAAGGCCCTGGGTTCGATTTTCAGCACCACATAAAAAAATAAAGATACGTGTCAACCTATAGGTAAAAAATAAAAAATATATAAAAATATTTAAGATAAATGTATTTTACTATAAAAATTTTCTTTCAAGAGATAATACAACCATCAAGTAATCTCTAATTCTCAAATTATTGTACAAACTTTTATAAGATGATAAACAGATATGATTCTGTCAACAAATGTCTAAAGGCTTTAACTACAGTTTCATTGAGATATTTCTTCTTATCAAGGTACAATAATTTGTTTAGATTCTCAGATTTACAGAAATTGTTCCAAAGTATAATCAAAAGAAATAATTCTAAAAAAAGGAAAAGAAGATGCTTCTACAGAGAGGAAATATACATTGCAGGTCCTAAGGAGAAGAAAGAAATCATCTTTGGGTAAAAGAAAAGGTCTTTATATTCTAAATTATAATGATGAAAGGATTTTTGTAAATAGGGAAATCTTTATATACTTATCTAGACAGATGACATAAAAAGTTCAAACAATTGAAAAATAGATTTATGTATAACTGGACTGACTATAAATATTTGGACTGATCAGTTCTAGGATATTTCAGGCTATTTCCCTGATTTTATTATGCTGATGTAAGCTTTCTGTCCACGTTCTGACATGACAGAGCTTATTAAAATATTAAGCTTATACCTAATAATTCTTGCTGTTTGAACAAGGACCAGTTTTTAATGAATCAAATTCATACATCATTTATCAGACCATAAATATTTTAAAATGCTTACTTAAATTCCAATTTTGACACTTCTCCTTGGAGACTAAATTTGATTGATTCAAAGACATCAGTAATGATTACTGCTGCTTCTTGCATATTTCTTCCGTTTGTTGAATATTTGTGGGATTTGGGAGA